ACAGAGGAGCCTGGCAGGCTACAGTCCATGGGGTGGCACAGAGTCGGAGGTGACGGAGCGATTAACACACACACAGACACACACACACACCCCCTTGAGAGAGGGAAATCTGTGTTACTCAGCTCATTTAAATGTTAACCTTCTCCAAAAACATCTTCGTAAAAACACCCGGAGTCATATTTGACCAAATATCTGAGTACCCTGTGGCCCAGTCAAGTTGACATATAAAATGAACCATCAGTCTTCAGATTCTCTTGCTGTCTTTGACTTTCAAACAGCATTTTCTCAAGACCTTTATACCATCCCACATGACCGCTCACTCCCCTTACTTGTCATTGGAGCTTAGAGGAGGTGGCACGGAGAGTCATCCACAGTCTGTGTGGGAGAAGATAGCGGGAGGATGGGGTATAACTGCTGAGGGCATCTCAGACTCTGGATGGGAGTTCAGAGGCAGGAAGCTGAGCATTAACCACTCATTCCCAGCATTCCAAGTGCACTCCTTTCTCCTGAAGTACTTTAAACGACATTGCTTTGAAGCACATGGCTGGCTGATGATGACCAATCAGTGGTGGTACAGGAGGTCATTTCAGCATGACAAACTGGAGTTAGGAATTGGAGTTAGACTGTGTGGGGTGAATCCTTTGCATTTTCCTCTGAAGTATGTTCTCCTGAGTACTTTTGTACTCAGGCATGACCAGTGATTTTCGTGCATGCTTGATAAAATGTATTGGTGTCCACAAGGGGGCTTCGTTTTTCTATTTTTCACCTTTTGCTTTCAATGATACTGTACATTTTGTTTTGTTGTTGTTGTTTATACCAAAAATAGAACAATTTGCTTGTTTCTGATAAGCACTTGCCATCACTGTGAAGATCTCTGAGAGCTTTGGACAGTAGAGCGATGAAGGCAGCGAAGTCCAAAACGGTGACTGGGAGGCCTGTAGGCCTGGAAGGGTCGAAGAGTGGGGTAGTCCATTCACAAATATTTTACATCCCTCTTGATACTCAAAACAGAAGCCTGGGTTTTTAAATATTTGGATCATAATTTGGATATATTGGGTCATTTTTCTAAATCTAATGTCCTGTTTAAATTAAAAGTGAATTAAAAAAATACATCATTCCAGGTTCAAGTGTTAATTTTTTCAGATATTTAGTCCCTGAGCCATTATTTACTGGGCTTTGTATCACACTGAAATCTGAACTCAAGTTTGGAGTCTTTGTTTTCTTGTTCCTGCCTATTTGAAGTTTCTGTTACCAAAGACTAGGCATTAAATCAGGTCTCATCAAAAGCAGTGGGACTTTAAATTGAACTAAATTTTGTTTGAGTAGAAATGGAGAACTGAGGTTACTAGCTCTTGTTTTGAGTGGCAGATTTTACATTGGTTTGGAAGATGATATATTCTAGAGGCAAGAGGGGCAAAACAATGTTTCACAGAAGAGTAACTACAGTGGAAAACATGCTTCATCCAGCTTTTGTGTACACCATTGGAAAAAATGAGTATCTACGAGTCACAGGAAGGGAAATGGCAGTATAGTTCCAAATCAGTTCAAGGTCCTGAAGAAATGAAGATAAGATTCCTATATGGATTTAAAAATGTAAAAAGTGCAAAACCAGGATGATTGGGCTTAGAGTTTTGTTAGGCAGTCCAACTTGTATATTTTATAGAAACTGTAGCCTTTTCATGGATTAACTGAAAGCCAAAACTTACAATTTGACATTAGGTTGATTAGTATTTCTGGTAGCTATTAAAATTGATGTTCTCAGAGTTTAGGGCTGAAAAATCCTCTGTGGGCATATTCCAAATGCCAAGACATAGGAGCATCCATTGGCAACAGAAACATTAAACAGACAAACTACGCATCCAAAATTATGGAGGAATGCTGTGGGATGAAACAAAATGTGCGGTGCATATTGTAGAATAGCAAATTCATGGTTATCAAAGGGGAAAGAGATGGGGGAGGGGTAAATTAGAGTATGGGATTAACAGATACAAACCACTATACATAAAATAGATAACAAGGATTTACTGCATAGCACAGGGAACTATATTCAATGTCTTACAATAAGCTATAGTAGAAAATAATTTGAAAAAATACATACATATATACATAACTGAATCACATTGCTATATACCAGGAAGTAACACATTATTGTAAATCACCTACGCTCCAATATTCTTTAAAAAAAAATTTTTTTTTTTGTGGGGTGGGGGATTTTCCTTGTGGCCCACGGGCTTAGTAGTTTCAGCATGCAGACTTAGTTGCTCCGTGGTGTGTGGGATCACTTCCCCAGCCAGGGATCAAACCCCGTGTTGGAAACTGGTTAACCACTGGACACCAGTTAAGTCCCTATACTCCAATTTTTTTTTAAAGTTAAAAAATAAAAAAGAATAGCGTCAAGAGTGATATTACACTCCAGATGACTTTTAAGTAATATTAAAAAATCAAATCCATTCTCAGAGCCAAATCTGATGAAGAAAGATGAGTAACATAAAGCTAACATTTATTGGATGGTTACTCTGTGCCAGATAAAACTTGTTCTAAGTACTCTACAGTGCTTTATATCACTCATTATACATAATAATTCTATTATTCCTACTTCACTAATGAGGAAATTGAGGCACAGAGAAATTGAGAAATGTGCCCAAAGTTTCATAGCTAAAGTGGCATATCATTTCTGGTAGAAAAATGTAGAAATCCTGTGTACTTTCTGATCTCCCTTTATCAAATTCTGTTTAGTTATAGTTAATTTCACAAACTGCATTTTCTACTGAGGAGAACAGCCCATTAGACCAGAGAGATTACCCCCTAAATAGCTTAGGATTGAATTTTTAAAGAGTTGATAACAAGTGTAGAAGAGGATAAGGTTCTTGTCAGAGAGGAAAGAATGACACATAAGCTTGGAAATATGCACAGTGTTTTTGTGGGAGGACTTTATAAATACAGAGAGAAATGTGAAAATCTATTTAGTGATAAAGCCGCTGCCTTTAGTGTTGGTGAAATATCACATGACCACAGGATTAGAGAAACCCCAAGCAGCATGATTCCATGAGATGTGATGTGATGTCTCAGCAAGCACTTTAAACTCAGTGGCCCTGGTGGTAAAGGACCCACCCGCCAGTGCAGGAGACATAAGAGACACGGATTCCATCCCTGGGTCGGGAAGATCCCCTGGAGGAGGCAATGGCAACCCGCTCCAGTATTCTTGCCTGGAGAGTCCCATGGACAGAGGAGCCTGGCAGGCTACAGTCCATGGGGTCGCAAAGAGTCGGACACGACTGAAGTGACTTGTGGGGCTTTGGGGGTTTCAAAACTGAACTCCTTCTCTTACTGCCCAGATCCACTTCTCCTGCAGCTACCCTCATTTCGGTTGATGGTGATTTGGTCCTTCTAGTTGCTGAGACCCAAACCAGGTCCTTTTCACTGTCTTCTTTCTTCTGCACCTCACCACACCTAGCTTGTTAGAAACTGTCGACAGCACCCAGAATTTCCCCACTTCTTCCCTCCTCTCCAACGTCTCCCACTCTCTTCTCTCAGCAGGATTATAGCAGTCGTCTCCTAACTGTTGTCCTGCTTCTATCCTTGGCCTCCCACACTCTGTCCTTGACACAAGGCCACGGGGATCTGTTATTACCTAAGCTCGCCCAGGTTACAACTACCTAAAAAGCCCCATGGTAATTCCTGGTTGCACTCAAGTGAAGCCCAGGTGGCCGTCAAGAGCCTGCAGGATTTGACCTTGGAGGCCGTGTCAACATGCCTCCTTCTACTCTTCAGCTTGCTAATTCTGGTCCCACTGCCCTGACCTCTTTGCTGTTCCGCAGAGGCCGAGGTTCACTCGCCCTGTAGGGCTGTGCTCTCTTCTTGGTTGTTCTTTCCCACGGGTCCTCATGGCTCCTCCCTCTCCTCCTCCCAGTTTTCCTCAGATAAGCCTCCTTTCTAACAGACTGTGTAATTTACTTCTTCATTTTTCCTATCATTTCTTCTCTGTATCCCTTCATCCTCTGCTGCTGGAATGTATGCTCCATGAGGACCAGACTCTGTTTTGTATACTGATGTATTTCAAGCACCAGAACATTGCGTGGGATATAGCAGATGCTCAAACAAGGATGACTTGTTGAATAATGTAAATAGATTTTAAATACAACTTGAAAAATAGAGACTGTTACTCAGAAACAACTGTAATAAGCACTCACCTGGGCTTCCCAGATGGCTCAAGTGGTAAAGAACCTGCCTGCCAGTGCAGGAGATGCACGCAGGAGACTCGGGTTTGATCCCTAGGTTGGGAAGATCCCCTGGAGAAGGAAATGGCAACCCACTCCAGTATTCTTGCCTGGAAAATCCTATGAATAGGGGAGCCTGGCAGGCTACAGTCCATGGGGTCCTGTCGAGTTGGACACAACCAAGCACCAGAGCGCACACACACCAGCAGAGCAAACATTGCAAGGCCATAGGGACTAGGTATTTGTGTCCCTGCAAGATGGATAGGATAAAGGAGAATTTAAAAAAAAAGTACTGCTTGTGTTCTGCCCTCAAATATTTAAAAGCTGATGAAATCATTTGCTTCTTAAAGTAATGAATAGAAATCCTGAAGTCAACCCTATGGGGTAGTTTCTGTGATTATTTGAGATTCCATATGGAGTGCTTAGCATATGCCAGCCACACAGACAGTACTTAGCATCAGCTTTTATTGCTTTTGTACTTTACATAAATGCATATGCAGTTTAAATAATTAGTTTTGAATAAATAACAATGAATCCTTTTTTTTTTCTTGAAACCTCATAAATTAAATAAACACTGTAACATGCTCTGCATTTCATCTGGCATTTAATTATATGTCTGTTTTGAATTAAGACTCATCATGGTTTGAAAACTTGGGTGAGTTGCTCTGGTTTTTTTTCTTTTAAGTCTTTGTGCTAGGGGCCAGTGTCTCATAGCTATTCAGTTTACTGGTGTTATGTGACTGGAATTTGTCCTCACAAGATCTGTGATTCTTTCTTTTTAAGGTGTGGGTGAATTCTGTCACTGAGATTACCTGTGATGAACTCTGTGCAGTGGATGGGGACTCCCCCGCTCACAGGACCTGGCCTACTTGGTGTCTGCACCCAGCAATGGACATTTGGCTTTCAAGTCCATTCCTGGACGTAGCATCCAGAACTTCACCCAGGCTCAGATCAACAAGGGCCAGCTAGTGTTTGTACACACCTGTAGGTAACTGAGAAAAGCAATGTGAAACTAAAATGTGTTTCAATCAAAGGTTAAAATGTAGTCAAACGTAATAGCTGCTGACGGAAAACCACAAGCCATCTAAAAACCTTGCAGACTGTATAGTTTTTTTAAAAATGACACTTTTTTAGTAAGGCCAATACGTTTAAGTTTACATTTGAGTAAGGCCAATAATAGCAAACATCAGAGGGTACTTGTAACTCATACTTGGCTTACTCACATTGTCATGTGAGGTGAAATATGTACATTTCAGATTCTTTTCCATTATGGGTTATTACAAGATATTAAATATAGTTCCCTGTGCCGTATAGTAAGTCCTTATTGTTTATCCATTGTATGTAAAATAGATAAATGTAAGCTTCTCAGAGATCTTTGTCTTGACCGCCCACTGAAATCACATCTCTTCCATTTATCTCTATCCCTTATTCTGGCTACCTTACGTTGTAGTATAGATTGATTTATTCATTTGTGTGCTGTCTTCCCCACTAGAGTATAAGGGCTAGAAAAATAGGATCTTTCTCTTGTTTCCTCTTATATTCTCAGCACCGAAGAACAGTGACTGGAACTTAGTAGGTGCTTAATGTAAATTTGTTGCAAGAATGAAATCCTATCGATACCTATTATGTGCCGGGTAATGTTCCAAATGTTGTGTTAGTGAACACAACAAATGCATTTGATAAATGAATGAATACAAGGATGAATGAATGGATGTAACTGTAAATCTAAGAGACCCTGATATTAAAAGGCTTTGTCTTCTTCCCTCAGGCCATCAGTAAATCAATAAAGCACATCACCACTGTACATTTGCAGGAGTGGTAATCTAGCTGGCCTCTGTTTCCTGGCTGCCCTTGACAGTGGTCAGAGAGGGCAAGGTGCCCATTCTCGGCCACAGGAGGAAGTGGGGGGAGAAGGAGTGTGAGCCTGGGGTGCATGATGGGAAAGCCAAAAGCTGTATCTTTCCCGCCACTTTTATTATATTTTCTTTGAAAATATAATAAAGAAAACAAAGATAAAAATCTGGTAAACTCAAAGGTAGTAATTTCCTGATTATCTCTGCAGTTAAGTACAAAGAATTCCCAGATAACCTGAAAAGCATTTACTATGTGACTGCTCTTATCTAGTGGTTCCAAACCTGTAGCCTGGGGACATGTTGGGGGTTAGTTTTATTGCAATAAAATCGTAAATCTACCCACATATGTACCAAAGCGTTGTTTCTAGACTGAATGATTTTTTCCACGTGTTTTTATTTTTCAATTGTATGCAGTTGTTCTCATTAGTAAAATACAATTCATTTAAAGGGGCATTGAATTGATAGGATGTTTCTGCCAATTATGTGTGGTTTTGGTTAGTAGATACTAAAAATCCAGATATTATTAGGCAAGGGCCTATAAGTTTTTTATCTCTATGAAAGGATTATTATATGTTCAAAATAGTGAGAACTGCTTTAGAGACTTGCACAGATAAAGTTTAGAGTTTCTAAGACTAAGCAATGTGCAGTGGGAAGGAGTTACTGATTATCTGGCATGGGCTAGGCACTGCAGGAGATACAATGACAGGACCCATTTCATTTAATCTGCAGAAGTTTTCTGAGTTATTGGGAGTAAACGATCTCATTATAGAGATGAAGAAACTTGAGTCCCAGAAAGATGTAACTTGGTCTGACTCTGAAGCTGGGCTTTCTCTAAAAGCTGCCACCCATAGAAGGGCAGAGTAGTTTGAAGAGCTGAAGTTACTCTTTGCAGAGAAGGATTGAAATATAAATTAGCTCTTTGGATTGATTTGTTTGTGAACTACCAGGTCAATATTTACTTTTGGCAAATAGAGAAAATAATTTCTCCTAAAAAAGCAGAAAGGAGAGTTAAAGTCAAGCTCTTTTGAGAGTCAATCCATCACATTTTCTAAATGGATCTGGAGGCAGTAATAGCCTTCAAAGTGGCAGGAGCCCAGCTGCAGATGAGCCTCTTGCTGAAACCAGCTGGTTCTCCCTGCTACATCTGTCCCTCAGCAGCCCCGAACAAAGGCTTAGGTTTAATTAGTCTCTCTTAGCATTTATATCTGCAAAGTGCTCCGCCATTAATCTAATTCATTATTCCACATAACAACCTAAGTAGGTCGATAGAGCCAATAAGTGGGGGGATAGGTGATTTCAGGTTGCCCTTCTGAAAGTACTGTCAGGTCAGGACAATCTAAGGTTGTACAATAAAATCCACAGGTCACAGCTACTTTCATGTTTTCCTCCCTCTGTCTTTTGGTCATAATTTGTATGATAGTTAGTGTACCTAGTACACTATTCTAGTATTTGTTTTGTTATAATTTCTTTGGATTCCATTTCCATTTTGTTTCCGAATTCATGAAATGTTCAAAGCGCTTAATAGCAGAAAACATTTTCTCCATAGTTTCACATTTAATTAAATACAACTTCCAAAGTGCTATTTCTAGTAAAAAGGAGCAAACAAACAAAAATAATATTTGGCTGTGCGCCTCTGTTCTAAATTAGGCAGACCCAGAATTCTCTTCCTCTGTTTTTTTTAAATGTGGTGACTCCAGTGTATTGGGGAAAAAATGTTTAAAGGCTGTAACCTTTTATTTTGAGGAGTCAGAACTCTCTGGGTTTGCTTAAATAACAGAGACTTAAGAGAAGGTTAAGTCATCAACCAGCCTTTTATTAAATCATGTTATTAAGGGAGTACTTGTAGGTAATTGCAGATCCTGATCATGCCTCCTTTGTTCCTTGCCACATGTCCCTGAGGGCAACGAGGAGGGCATTTCTACCCATTACATGATGCAGAGACCTGTGGGCTGTACATTTACTGCTGGATGAACAATTTCAAAAGGCAAGGGGACTGTGATCGTCATGCTCTCTGCGTGATGATCTTGCCTGGTGCTTTGGGAGTCAGACTGGTAAAGCACTAGGGGGAACAGGATCAATAGGGGGCCCAGCCCAATTTCTGTTTCACACATAAGTTAATTTATAACTTTGTTGATGTCACTGATCCCCTGACAGAAGTATGAGAGTAGAATTGTCTTCTTGCAGGAATTTAACAAAACTGGGGCTAAGTCTTTCTCCACTTTTCTCTTTCCCCTCTTAGCAGGAAACAGAGATAGATGAATAATGGGAAAGTATTTGGGGGGAGGGGCTGTGTTATTTAATTACCTCTAGTTTTGATTTTCATTATCATCAAGTAAGTATTATCAATAGTTCAGAAACTGCTAAGGGATGCATGTGTGTGTGGCATCCTTGTTTTACTTTTATTGGTATAAATTGACTCCAAGATAATAAAATAAAGGTAATGAACATGTCTTAAATTTTTAAAAAAATTTCTTGGAGGTGACATCTTTGCTTTCTTTTATTACTTTCAGGAGAGGATGAGGTAGGAATATGCATTTTAGACCTTTATTGGTATTCTTTTCATTTTGTGTTTTGGCAGTATTTGATTTGGTGAGCTTGGTGACCATATTAACTAACTCAAATTGGTAGGAGTAGCTTTGCAGGGAGATCAGGTGGGAGAGAAGGTGAAAGTGGGTGGCTTTTGCAAAATGACCAGACTGACCAGAGTGTAATTTCTTCTTTTGAAGGAGCAATGTCAGGAGGCTTTAATTTTCAGGTTACTGATGGTTTGAACTTTGCACCACGACAAATTTTTAGCATCACAGCTCGAGCTCTGATCATTAGCTTGGAAGTAAACAGAGGACTGAGCATCTTCCCAGGTAAGATTTTAACTTCATTGAGTGTTTGGGTTTAAGTGTTTTTCAATTAATAAATTGAAATATAATTTAATATAATATCTTTCTAAATATAGAAAATTCTACCTGCATGGTATAAAGTATTATCTTTTATTATAGAGTGACTTCAACAACAGTTGCTGCTGCTGCTGCTAAGTCACTTCAGTCATGTCCGACTCTGCGACCCTATAGACGGCAGCCCACCAGGCTCCCCCGTCCCTGGGATTCTCCAGGCAATTAACACTGGAGTGGGTTGCCATTTCTTTCACCAATGCATTAGAGTGAAATGTGAAAGTGAAGTCTCTCAGTCGTGTCTGACTCTTAGCGACCCCATGGACTGCAGCCCACCAGGCTCCTCCATCCATGGGATTTTCCAGGCAAGAGTACTGGAGTGGGGTGCCATTGACTTCTCTGTCAACAACAGTTACAAAGTCCCGAAAAGGATTGTCTCTTTGCAGGAATTTAACAGAAGTAAGGCTGGGTATCCCCCACCCCTGTCCTTCCTCTTTCCTTTTCCTCAGAAGAGGGCATGCTGGTGAAGGGCAATGTGGGAAGGAATCTTTATGGTCCATGTGCACTTTTTTCCTGCACTAGCCTTAGGATCCTTAATAAAGCAGGAGAGCTTTTGTTATGACTGTCTAGATCTTGGGGTTTTCTTTTTTTGAATATAAAAACCTTGTGTATCAGGGGACCAGCAGTTCTTGCTTTGAGGCCCTGCAGCCTTTGAACTGGTTTTTGCCAAGAATTTTAGCCTGGCTGAGATGGAGAGATACAAGTGAGCATCTCTGACTCAAAACCCTCACAGCAAGGATAGAACAAGGTTTTACCCAATGGCAAGGGTAATAAAAGAGGAGGAAAAAAAAATGTAAAATTTATTTCCCTCCAAAGGCACTGAGGTAGATGGCACAGGAAATAATAAAATTTTACATTACAGTTTAAAAAAAAAACCTGTGTATTATAACTTGTTTAACTGATATACATTATCAGTAATGCTGCAGCCTATTGGATTGCAAAGAATCAGAAGTGAATTGGTGACTGAACAACAACAGCAATGTTATCAGTAAAATATAGACACTGATCATTTTAATAATATGGTCACTCCATGGTTACTCTAGCCAGTTGTTCTCAACCACTGCAAAGCTTTAAAAATACCAGTGTCTCAGCCTCACCAATTGAATGGGAGTCTTTGGACTAGGTCCTGGCCACCATTTTAAGTTCCAAGTGGTCCTGAAGTACAACCAGGACTGAGATCATGGAACTAGTGGTGTGCTAGTCTTTTAATCCTTGTATCTGTGTGAGATAGGTGATATATTCACAGCAAACTGGCAGAATTTGTGGCTTAAAGAGATGATATAACTTGATTGTGCAACCAGGAAATAGATAAAACTTACATATCTCTAAATAAACCTAGAGAAAAATCACTGTTCATAACTTACCAAAAAACAAGAATTTTAAGGAAAAATTTTGAAATTTTTAGGTGCCTTAAGCATTTGAGCTCACAAAAAGAATCTTTATCAAAATCTAACTGAAGATATGTTAACCTGGATTCTTCTCTTCTGAAACCTTTTTATATTCTGTAATTTTTCTCTGAAAAGTGCAATGCTTCTATCATTTTTTCAAGGCAATTAGAGTGCCATTTGGTGTTTTAAAAAATAAGCAAACTAGTTTCATTCTTTTACAAGTGGTTGACCAGTTTTCCCAGCACCACTTGTTAAAGAGGTTGTCTTTTTTCCATTGTATATTCTTTCCTCCTTTGTCGAAGATAAGGTGTCCCTAGGTTCATGGATTTATCTCTGGGCTTTCTATTCTGTTCCATTGATCTATATTTCTGTCTTTGTGCCAGTACCATACTGTCTTGATGACTGTGGCTTTGTAGTAGAGCCTGAAGTCAGGCAGGTTGATTCCTCCAGTTCCATTCTTCTTTCTCAAGATTACTTTGGCTATTTGAGGTTTTTTGTTTTTCCATACAAATTGTGAAATTATTTGTTCTAGTTCTGTGAAAAATACCGTTGGTAGCTTGATAGGGATTGCATTGAATCTATAGATTGCTTTGGGTAGTATAGTCATTTTGACAATATTGATTCTTCCAATCCAGGAACATGATATATTTCTCCATCTGTTTGTGTCCTCTTTGATTTCTTTCATCAGTGTTTTATAGTTTTCTATGTATAGGTCTTTTGTTTCTTTAGGTAGATATACTCCTAAGTACTTTCTAACACCATACACAAAATAAACTCAAAATGGATTAAAGATCTAAATGTAAGACCAGAAACTATAAAACTCCTAGAGGAGAACATAGGCAAAACACTCTCCGACATAAATCACAGCAGGATCCTCTATGACCCACCTCCCAGAATATTGGAAATAAAAGCAAAAATAAACAAATGGGGCCTAATTAAACTTAAAAGCTTTTGCACAACAAAGAAAACTATAAGCAAGGTGAAAAGACAGCCTTTAGAATGGAAGAAAATAATAGCAAACGAAGCAACAGACAAAGGATTAATCTCAAAAATATACAAGCAACTCCTCCAACTCAACTCCAGAAAAATAAATGACCCAATCAAAAAATGGGCCAAAGAACTAAACAGACGTTTCTCCAAAGAAGACATACAGATGACTAACAAACACATGAAAAGATGCTCAACATCACTCATTATCAGAGAAATGCAAATCAAAACCACAATGAGGTACCATTACACACCAGTCAGGATGGCTGCTATCCAAAAGTCTACAAGCAATAAATGCTGGAGAGGGTGTGGAGAAAAGGGAACCCTCTTACACTGTTGGTGGGAATGCAAACTAGTACAGCCGCTATGGAAAACAGTGTGGAGATTTCTTAAAAAACTGGAAATAGAACTGCCATATGACCCAGCAATCCCACTTCTGGGCATACACACCGAGGAAACCAGATCTGAAAGAGACACGTGCACCCCAATGTTCATTGCAGCACTGTTTATAATAGCCAGGACATGGAAGCAACCTAGGTGCCCATCAGCAGATGAATGGATAAGGAAGCTGTGGTACATACACACCATGGAATATTACTCAGTCTTTAAAAAGAATTCATTTGAGTCAGTTCTAATGAGATGGTTGAAACCGGAGCCCATTATACAGAGTGAAGTAAGCCAGAAAGATAAAGACCAGTACAGTATACTAACGTGTATATATGGAATTTAGAAAGATGCTAATGATAGCCCTATATGCAAGACAGAAAAAGAGACACAGATGTACAGAACAGACTTTTGGACTCTGTGGGAGAAGGCAAAGGTGGGATGTTTTGAGAGAACAGCATTGAAACATGTATATTATCAAGGGTGAAACAGATCACCAGCCCAGGTTGGATGCATGAATCAAGTGCTCGGGGCTGGTGCACTGGGAAGACCCAGAGGGATCAGGTAGGGAGGGAGGTGGGAGAGGGGATCGGGATGGGGAATACATGTAAATCCATAGCTGATTCATGTCAATGTATGGCAAAAACCATATTACTACAATATTGTAAAGTAATTAGCCTCCAACTAATAAAAATAAATGGAAAAAAAATAAGCAAACTGCTACACCCTAATATTTTGAAAAAAAAAAAAAAGATACAGCCATCTATTAAAAAGAGGGTCTAAACTTAGAGTAAATCTGGTTGCTGCAAAAGATTAAATACCTTTCATCTATTATGGCTAAACTCTGGTTTGTGACTGAAGACATTTTTATTAGATTCAAGGGGAGTTATAGCCACTACAGCTTAGAAAGTTTCGAGTTTCTGGCACCTGTTTTACTGAATATTAATTTAGCAAGAAAAACATGTTAAAGTATCTCTTGTCACCCTTGTGCAACTCTGCAAAACATAGAGTAACCAAGGACACGGCCCTGAGTAACCATCCCCTTTCCCTTTCTAACATGCACTGCATCTGCCCTACTGTGGCCTCCCTGCATCCTGTATCTAAGAACCCTCCACCACAACTTGCACATTATCCTCAGATCCCAAAGTGAGCTGTTTCTTTTCCCAGCTCTCCCTAGCTTGTTAGGTCTGTTATCCTTGGTTCTCTGTCATTCTCTATCCCCAGACCATGACATATATCCAACTCCAGCCCCTGGTCAGTAGGAAGGAAGATGAATTTTCATGTATGTTTCCATCAGTTGATTATTACATTTTTATTACAATTATTACATTATTACATTTTATTACATTTTTATTACCCACCTTGGGTGGGTGTGGAATGAGAATGAGGGAGTCATAGATTTTAGAGATGGGATGGACATTATGGGTCCCTTGGTCCAGTTGTTCTTGGCTTTCTTCCTACCCTAATGTCACCAAGTAGCAGTGTCCCCTCTGTTCTGCATCAGAATTCCTGGATGTAGGGGTGGTTCTGTAGACCACATGGCCTTATCCTCTCTCCAGAGGCATAGTTGAGTCTTGCTCAGCCTGCCTCTGCTGCAGCCTCCTGAGGTTATTGGTCCCTGATGCCGTGTAAAGCTGCAGGAGTGATGATGACAGATGCCCAACTCATCTTCCCTTGGGAACCCCCCTCCACAATATCAGGTCCTGCTGGGAGCAGGCATTGAGTGACCTCTGCCTCCTTCATCTATTAGCCAGCCCTTTGGTGGGGGAAGGAGATAGGGGGACTCTCTGTGTCCCACCTCTGGTGTGGATCCAGGTGTCAGCTGTCAGCTACTGTAGCTCTTGTCAGATTCGAGTTGATCTATATGTTCTGAAATATCAGAGACAGTTTATTCCTTTTTATAGAGCTATGGACTTCGTAGAACGATAATAGGAGAAAATCTATTTCTGTTATAGGATAGTATCAATAGATACTGTTGATATCTATGTTTTTATAGTGTTTTGTATTTTTTTAATCTACTGAACTGGGTTGTTATAAAGATTTAAACAAAATGTGTTTATTTTTTTTTCAAGATTTAAAAATTTATGCAATAAGTTTACTTTTTTGTTTGTTTTTTCCATTTATTTTTATTAGTTGGAGGCTAATTACTTTACA